GGTTACACTCTAGTTGGAAGAAAGGGACATACAATGGATTTTGTGAGAGAATAAGAGTTGTGTTCTGGAGGGGCAAATAGATTCATACAAATTTGGCTACAAGGGCTTTCTCTAAAGGGAAACTTTTTAAGTGAGTCATGAATAGCAAGAATGATAATAACACATATTAGGAAGAGAATATGTACTTGGCCAAGAAAATAGCATGTGAGCTGGGTTTTCAATAGCTCTAAATGGAAGGTCTATATGCTGTGCCACTGGACATCAGGTGCCAAGAAAGCAGATGCTGAGATAAAAATACCATGTGTGGAGTTGACTAGGGAGTGCTATGGGATTAACACCCTTGTGGGAAGAGAAGGCTGGAGGGTTGAGCAGAGGGGATTACGGAGCTACAGTGCAGTGGCCTTGGCCAGTTACAGGCTGGGGGCGGTGCTCTGAAGCTGGGATGACCTTTCAGAGATGAAGTGAGAAGTCTTAGCCTTTATACCTTCACGCCCACCAGTCATTGTACCCCAGAATGGGGGAGAAAACTTGGGCTAAATGACCAATTTCGACAATTTCAAGAATGACTCTGAAATCTCTATTAATCAAACATTTATACTTCTCAATAGAGGACACAACTGAATCAATTTGCCACCTTTCACCCTGGAACTCTCTGTCTTCCAGAGGTTTGGTTTCTTTGTGTTCACAACATATTATTTGTCCGACTAGTTATTGCTACAGTTGTAGTATAATTTCACTTATCAGGGGCATGAGAATCAGCAATCCTTACAGAAAAAAACCTTGGTTTAGACTATTTTCCTTAAAAGGCAGTTATTGTTATGGGGAGCACCTGAGATAATGATAGTTTCTACACACAGCTTCGTTAAGAGAGAAGTCCATTGAATTTAGCTGCTGTGAAAAGTTAGTGATAGAAAAAAAAACTATCCTACATTTACAGGATGGAATACTACACAGCAGAAAGAAAGAAGGAGCTCCTACCCTTTGCAACAGCATGGGTGGAACTGGAGAGCATTATGCTGAGTGAACTAAGCCAGGTGGTGAAAGACAAATACCATATGATCTCATCTATTATAAGTGGAACCTAATCAACAAAACAACAAGCAAGTAAAATATAACCAGAGACATTGAAATTAAGAACAATCTGACAGTAACTGGGTGGGAGGTAGGAGGGAATAATGGGGGGTAAAGATGAAAGGGTTTTTAGGAACAGCTGTAAGGACATATGGACAAAACCAAGGTGGGGTGGATTCAGGGGAGAGAGATGGGGATGGCTGGGTTGGGGGAAGTGGTAGGAGGAAAATGCAGACAACTGTACTTAAACAACAATACAATTTAAAAAAATTTTTAAAGTAGGAAAAAAAGGAATGAAAAAAAAGAAACTATCCTTACCAATTCCCTCCAATCTAGGATGCGTGCTTCCCTCCATTTATTGTGAGAAAATATGAGATGAGTAAACTCAAGGACACCACGTCTTCATCTGCTTAAAGTACGCTAAGGCTATCAATAAATAGGGGTGTGGTTTGTGATGTGTAGTCACAGGACCAGCACCATCACCATCACCTAGAAATCATTCAAAATGCAAATACTCAGGCCCTGCCACAGACCTGCTGGGTCAGAAAAACTGGGGCTGAAGCCATCCAATCTGGCTTAAAAAAATAGATTTTATCTATTTATTTTTAGAGAGAGGGGAAGGGAAGGGAGAAACATCAATGTGAGAGAGAAACATTGATCAGTTGCCCTTGTACGTGCTCCCAAGCAGGGACCAAAACCACAACCCAGGTATGTACCCCAGCCAACTAGAGATATTCACTTTGCAGAACGCTGTCCAACCAAGTGAGCCATACCAGTCAGGCCATCATTTAATCTGCTCTAACAAGCCTTTCAGATGATTCTGATGCATGGGACTTAATTCACTGCAGGTGATAAGTACCCTAAGTCAAATTTCTATAAGCAGCCATCCTTTTTATTCTTTTTTTTAAATTTCAAAAATAACAAATTTTTTCTGGTTCTAAATAATTTCATATACATGGGGAAAATAATATAAAAAGTGTAAGAGACTTAAAATTCTATTGCACATATAGTACTACTGTAAACATTTTGGTGCATTTCCTTTCAGATATGCTTCATGCATGTTTTACTTATAGAAAATACAATGCATATTTCTTTTGTAACCCATTCATTGATTTAATAATCTATTTAGCCAAGTACATGTAGACATAACAAGAATAACTCCGATGATGTAGCCTATGATTACAAATGAACTTACCTTTACTCTGAACCCACCCATGGATAACTACTAGTAGGAAGTCTAGACTTTTAAAGTATTTCCCTTCCTTAAGATCTATAAGTTTGGAACTCTGGTTTTAAAAATTTTAAAGGGCACATATTTAAAAGCAAGTGATTTTTATTTTGTACCAAGCAGCTATAACATTTATACAAGCAGGATGTCAACTTAATAAAGCTAAATGTTTGGGGACACAATAGCATGTAAAGTATTGGTTTTAGCTTCTACTTGTATTATCTGCTTTAAGTTTCCAGTTAGCAGCTCCTCCATCTTGTTCTCCTAAATTATTAGGAAAGAAATGTCTAGGTAGAGAAAAAGTCCTTTCTTTAATGCAAGACTGCAAGGAGTGTGTGAACTTGAATAAGGAAAGAGAGTAGCAAATGATTAACATTAGTGTTACCATTACTTTGCAGCAATACCGTATGACGTGGTCCAGATCTGTGGTGTCCAGCACACGGTGCTGGCTTTCAAGTCAGGCAGACTTGGGAAGGAATCTTTGCTCTGGCATTTACTAGCTTTGTGGCTTGTGGTGTTACTTTGAGCAAATTACTTAACCTTTAAAGCCTTCTTCTCCTCACCTGAGGAAAAAAAGATAATAATGCAACTACCTTATAAAGTTAATTTGAGAATTGAATAACATGTTAAGTGACATATTTAATTTGGAAATTTTCCTGGTTTAAAAAAAACAACAAAATTTCTGCAGACATGAGAAGCAAATGACCTGTGTTTACAGTTGAGTTTTGGTAAATATTTCTTTTCTTTCCACTTCCCTACGTCCATGTGAACTTGAAGGTGAATAGGTCAACTTTCAGGTTGAATGCGAACTTGACAAAGACTTCCTTCCGAGTGCCCAGCCCCTGCTTCCTTGCTCCCTTTGCTATTGTAGGTGACCCCACCTCACTCTCAGGGTCCTATTTGGTTCCTCCACATCTTTTTTAGGCCAAGTCCGGAAGCATCTGCCAGGAGCTAATACACTTACACTAATTAAGCTAAAATAGAATATGTTTTGTTCTTCAGCAAGCTTTACATTCAGTGATAACTTTTATCTCAAATTATACAGTGAGTCTGAAGCAGAACATGACAAAGCTGTAGAACTAGACGCAGATTTTGGGAGCATGGCTCTGCTTCCCACAGCAGACACAGGTCACTTTGACTGTGGGAAAGTGACCAAGGCTCAGTGAGTTTCAGTTTCCCTGGTCCCCCACTTGTTACTTAATTGTTTCTGGGAGCTCCTGGCTGGGAGAGCTGCACTCCTTCCTCACCAGCCTATCCCAGGAGCAGGCACCTTGTCCCTTGGCCCAGGTGCTGTTGGCTCTGCCCAGCCCTCCTCCTTCTGCCCGCCCCAACCAGGAGCAGGCTGGCTCATTCCCATTGCTCCTAACCTGCCCCTGACACCTCCTTTCACCAGGAAGTATCCATCCAGATTTCTGGTAGCTCTGACTTGCTAGATATATTTCAATTTATTATTCTGGTTGGCAAAATTCACATACTTAAAAATTTAAGTATGGAAACATGTTGTAAAACCTCTCCCACTCTGTCTTCCTCCCTTAATCTCTCTTCCTTCCCTCCCCCAATATAAGTAATCATTGTAATTTATTTCTTATATATCCTTTATTTATTCACACCTAAATACGGTCAAATATAAATCTCGTATTGTAATTTCAAATATAGAATTTTATACACACTTCTGAAACTTGCTTACTTTTTTACTCTTTGACTTTATTTTTTGACTTTTTTTATGGAAAGAGCAACCCTCATGCTTTACTCCACCCGAATAGTGTTCCTTTGTTTGACTGCACATTACCAGTCTCTAATCAGAAGAATTTAGGTGGTTTCCTGTCTTTTGATATTACAAATAATGTTGCAATGAAGAGTAGTGTATTTATGTAAGTCATTTCACACATGTGCAAGTATTTTTTCTAGGATACATTTCCAAACCTAGAATGGATGGATCACAGGCTGTATGCATCTGTAATTTTGACAGAGACACCAAAATTCCTCCACAGTGATCATATCAATTTCCAGTGCCCTTGAAAATTTTAAGAGAATCCCTGCCCAAAGTCTCTGCAAGAATTTTTTAAATCAAACTTTGGGCTTTTACATACCTAACAGGTTTTAAATGTCATGTTCTTCCCTTACAATTTGTACTTTCATTATTATAACGAGGTTGAACTGGTTTTTATGTTTTTCCTCTGCAAACTGTTTGTTCATATATTTTAGTTATATTTCTATTTTTGTCACCTATACCAAATATTCAGTGTGTGATGATATTTTCAAATCATGCAATGCAAATTATTCCTAGTATTTCCCATTGTTTCTATCAATTTCTGGCAAGTAAAAAAATCATTGGAATGATGTCCTGTTGTCTAGAAAAGTATGATTACAGTGGAAACATATTTTATTATATTTATCCAACTAACTTATATGAAAATATACCCATTTGAAGAACCCATTATAAAATATTAATAAATAGATTTCAACTCATAAAAATTTAAGAGGAATAGAAAATATAAATTTTCTAAAATAAAAACATTTCTAAAATAAAAAACATTTGTCAATGTCCATAACCTTAAGGTACAGATATATGTATACAGACAAAACAAAACTATGCTACCATGTCATGACAAAAAGAATTAATAATGTCTGGAGAAGTCCTTCGATACCCCCACCTACCTCATGCTTTTAAAGCCAGCAGTTGCCTCTTGCTTCACATGGTTCAAGGGTCCACTTCTTGTTTGCTCAGCTTTCTTGTGAGTTGGAACACAAAGGATAGACACCAGTTGGTTTCCGCATGGACAATGGTCCAGGCACAGCTGCTGTATTCCTGGTTTTCCAGGTAATCACGAATCCTTCAGAAGTACATTTTAACCTGTAACCTAAGGTTGTCACTACCTATGGTACCACTTTTCTGATCAGCTTGCAGTTCCATGAACGTTTCTAGGTATTCTAGTTGTTGATGAAGTTCAATGAGGAACTTCTTCATCTGACTTTCCTCCCAACCATCCAGAGAAATATTTGCCCCAAAGAGGTTGAAGATCTGCTGAACTGTCTCATGAAGAATGGTCAGTGCACAGCCTTTCTCATGCTGGTGAGGACTCACAGCCTTCTGGGGAAGCAGGAAGTTTTTCCTCTGGTAGACACTGCTGAATGGATGAGGTTTGCAAATGATTCAAAAGTTTGAAACTTTCTCTGTTCACTCTTCTTTGTTGGAAGAGAACCAGTTTCAGTTCCAGAGAGGAGAGTGGAAGAGTCCAGAAGCACCAACACAATTTCCAAAAAGTGATTGTTAGCCATGGTGAAGGTCTAACATGCCACTTACCTTTCTGCAGACAGGCTCCAACTCCAGTGCACTTTCATGCATCTCAGATTATTCTGAAAGGTGCTCTCTTTTGTTGGTTTTGTTTTCTAAACCTGTCATTTCTCCAAGTTTACACTTCAAGCTTTTTGGTTCTCTAGTCACAGTGTTCATGGGACCTTTCCTCCACTTCCCCCATTTGGCTATTTGAGGAAGTAACTGAAATAACTTGTTTCATTGTATTCTTTCCTTGACACAATTACAGATCGGTCATTCAATAAGATCTTCTATTATTCTTATTATTTATTACACACATAAAGAACACAATATGCTTTCTAAATATTTAGTTAAGCTTACTAAACATCTTTTATGGGAGTAGTTTTTTAAAGGGGTAGTTTTTCACAGAGTAATGTTTATCAGAGGCTTAGTAGCACCCATATGGCACTTGGGAGCAAAAATTAAAGTCCACTCAAACTACCAAATTTAAAACTTCAAGTAGAACTATAAATTTGCACAAATGCTTGAACAAATTAATCTTAAAATATGTTCCAGCGATCTTACATTGTTTTATATCTTATCCAAGCAGTTGTGTATCTAAGATTCTAGTCTATGTAATGTGAAAGATAAAAATGAGAAAAAGGTCATTCAACATTATTGCTACTGCAGAATAGTAGAGATGGCAGATAGCAGGGGTCCCCAACCTCCAGGCCTTGGACGGCTACCGGTCAGGGCCTGTTAGGAACTGGGCCACACAACAAGTGGTGAGCTTGAATGTAATGCACTTGAATCATCCTGAAACCATCCTATAGTAGGAGCTTAATACACGTATTGACTTGAAGTGAATCCATGTGCTCTACCACAAAGTAATAAAACTTGTAACATCTTATCTTTGACCATTTTTCTGCAGGCAGTTGGTGTGCAATATTCTAAGTGTTGAAAAGAGATACTCTGAAAACATGCACAGTCTCATCATCTGTAAGCTCAGCTCTATGCTGTTGTCACTTAGTCTGGTATTAATAAGCTGAAATTAACTGAGCCAAAATTAATTTTGAACATTGCTTATAGCAATACTTTTTCTGATATATCTCCTCAGGAGAGGGAAACACAGAAAATAGACAAATGGGACTATATCAAACTAAAAAAATGTTTACACAGCAAAATAAACAAACAACCCATAGAATGGGCAAACATATCTGCCAGTACAAAATTTATAAAGAACTTATAAAACTCAATGCTGAACAACGACAACAACAATATACAATCCAATTAAAAAATGGGCAGAGGACCTGAAGAGACACTTCTTCAAAGAGGACACAGATGGCCAATAAACATATGAAAAAATGCTCAACATCACTAATCATCAGTGAAATGCAAATTAAAACCAGAATGAGATACCATCTCACACCTGTCAGAATGACAATCACCAATAAATCAACAAACCACAAGTGCTAGTGAGGGTGTGGAGAAAGGCGAACCCTTTTGTACTCTTGGTGGGAATGCAGACTGGTACAGCCACTGTGGAAGGCAGTATGCAGTTACCTCAATAAACTAAAAAATGGAACTGCCTCATGACCCAGTGAGCCCACTTCTGGAAATTTATCTGAATAAACCTGAAACACTAATTTGAAAGAACATAAGCTCCCCTATGTTCACTGCAGCATTATTTACAAGAGCCAATATTTGGAAGCATCCCAAGTGTCTATCAGTAGATGAGTGGGTAAAAAAAACTATAGGACATCACAGGATGGAATGCTACTCAGCCATAAAAAAGAAAATTCCAGCCTTTGTGACAGTATGGATGGACCAGGACAACATTTTGCTAAGTGAAATAAGTCAGTGAGAGAAAGCCATATACCATGTGATTTCACACATATGTGGCATCTGATGAACAAACTGAACTAACAAGCAAAAGAGACAAATTCATAGATGGAGAGCAGGTTGACAGCTCTGATGGGGAGGTTAGGAGTGAAGGGTTCAAGCAAAAAACAAAAAGGACTCATGGACACAGATAACAGTGTGGCAATTGCAGATGGGAAAAAGGTGGGTGGGGGTGGAAAAGGATATAAGGGGGATAAATGGTAATGGAAAAATATACTAAAATAAATAACCAATTAAAATACTTCAGAGGATTAGCAGATAAAAAGATTACAAAATCTACTCTGGTGCTTAAACTAATACATAACTAATGCATATTAGTTAACTTAAACTACTAAATCAGTAACATTTCTGGAGATTCACAGATAAGTAAAATATTTTTACAGATAAGAGTTATGAATAAAAATTGGACATTTTTATTTTCTTGTGACTCTTTTGAGGATAAGTTTAGTTGTTCTGGCCTTCTGGAAAAGGTATGATATCTTTATATCTGAATAGTCTTTATTGTGGCAGCAACTCCAGTAATATTTTTGAAATCTCTCTTTCCCTCCCTCTCCACCTCCCCTTCCATCTCTCTGTCCCTCCCTTCTTCCTCTCTTTCTTTCTCCCTCCCTCTGAAAAAGCCTATGGTCATTTTTAACATACAAAAGAATAATACTTGTTTCGATAACATTCTGCTTAATCACTTGAGCAACAAAATTTTGACCTGGTTTCAACATAAATTTATAAACCTTTAATGTGAAGCTTCAGGAATATTTTATTTTTAAGGGTAAATGAAAATAATCTCTATCTCTAAATCTAAAGTTAAGTAATCTAAATCTCTTAATCTAAAGAGTAATCTAAAGTAATCTTAATCTAAAGTAATCTAAATCTCTTAATCTAAATTAAGACTTTCACAAAATTTTCATCCAATTTGCAATAATAATTTTAAAATGTGTTAATTTCCAAATATCTGGGGATTTTTTTCCAGATATCTTTCTGTTATCATTTTCTAATTTGAATCTATTGTGGAGAAAGCATATAGTTTTAATTTATTAAGACATTTTATGCCTCAGAATATGGTCTATTTTGGTTATTTATTGTTCCATGTAAACTCAAAACAATTCTATTATTTTTGTTGATTAGACTATTTTATAAATATGAATTAGGCCAAGTTGGTTGACAGTATTGTTGAAAATTTCTGGATTTTTATTTGTTCTATCAACCAAGAGAGAAGTTTGAATTTGCCTACGATAAGTTTGAATTTGTCTATCTTCCTCTTCAGTTCTATCAGTTTTTGCTTCATGTATTCTAAAACTATGTTATTAGATGCATCACTTTCAGGATTATTGTTTCCCTTAGTGAATTGACCCTTTTATTTTAAAATGTCCCTTTTCATGTCTGTTAATATTCCTTAGTCTGAAATCAACCTATGTTATATACTCATGCTTCCTTTTGATTAGTGTTTGCATGGTATATCTTGTTGCTTCCTTTTATTGTTAACTTGTGCATGATTTTTATATTGAAAGTAAGTTTCTTGTATCTGGCATATAGTTTTATCTTGTATTTTTCTCCCATATGAAAATCTTTGCCTTGTAATGGAGTGTTTATACCATTTACATTTAATGCGATTATCAAGATGGCTTGGTTTACATTTGCCATTTTACTATTTGTTTTCTAATTGGCCATATGTTCTTCCTTCTTTTGGATTAATTTTTAATGTTTTTGCACTTTATATCTCCACTACTGATTTATGGCTATATTGTTTATCTTTCACTTTTACAGTAGATTGTCTAGGGTTTAAAACATATGTCTTTATTTAGTGTATTAGAGTTTACTTTCAAATAATATTTCTACCACATGTACTGTAAAGATATTTCAACAATATAGTTTCTTTCCACTTCCTTTAACATTTCTCGTTTCTCAGGTCTGCCAATGATGAATTCTCTTGAATTTTGCTTATCTCAAAAAGTATTTTGCCTTCTTTTAAAAAAATTTTATTGTATTTTTTCAATCATCATTTAGTCCTCTTATTCCCTCCTGCCCCCAGCAAGTACCACACTGTTGTCCAGGTTCATGAGTCCTTTTTCTTTTATGCTTAATCCCTCCACCTCCTAATCACCCCTCCCAAGTTTAGCTATCATCCTGCTCTATATCAGTAAGTCTGTCTTTATTTTCCTTGTCAGTTCAATTTGTTCATTAGATTCACATATGAGTGAAATCATATGGTATGTGTCTTTCTCTGACTGGCTTATTTCACTTAGCATATGTTCTCCAGGTCCATCCATGCTGTTGCAAAGAGTAAACTTTTCTTCTTTTTTTATGACCAAGTAGTATTCCCTCATGTAATATCCCAAGGTTGTTTTATTCACTCATCTACTAATGGACACTTGGACTGCTTCTGTATCTTGGGGATTGTAAGTAATGCTGCAATGATCATAGGGGTGCTTATGTTCTTTTGAATTAGTGTTTGGGTTCCTTCAGATATATTCCCAGAAGTGGGTCATAGGGCAGATCCAATTTTAACTTTTATGAGGTATCTGCATGCTGCTTTCCACAGTGGCTGCACCAGTCTGCATTTCCACTGACAGTGCAAAAGTGTTCCCCTTTCTCCACATCCGCACCAGCACTTGTGGTTTGTTGATTTATTGATGATAGCCATTCTGACAGGTGTGAGATATCTCATTCTGGTTTTAATTTGCATTTCTCTGATAATCAATGATGTTGAGCATTTTCTCATATGTTTATTGGCCATTTGTATGTCTTCCTTGGAGAGTGTCTATTCAGGTCCTTTGCTGATGTTTTTATTGAAATTTTTTGCTGTTGAGTTTTATAAGTTCTTTATTAATTTTAGATATTAACCCTTTATCAGATGTGTTGGCGAATACATCCTCTTATTCCATGCATACTCTTTTTGTGTTGTTGATGGTTTTCTTCGCTGTGTAAAAAATTTCTAGTTTGATGCAGTCCCAGTTGTTAATTTTTTCTTTTGTTCCCTTGCCTTGGGAGATATAGCTGATAAAATATTGCTATAAGTAATGTCTGAGATTTTGAGGCCTGTTTTCTTCAAAGATTTTGATGATTTCAGGTCTAACATTTAAATCTTTAATCCATTTTTAATTTATTCTTATATGTGGTGTGAGAA